CGCAACCCCAGCTCCGGCACCTGCGGGCGGCGCAGAGGTCCGGCGTCGGGAGGCCGCCTGGTGCGCGGCAGGGGCTTTGGTCCTTCCCGGCGGGAACCGGGAAAACGACGGGATCCCGCGGGGGTAAGAAAAGCTAGAGTTGCCGCTTGGAGCGGGGCTGGAAGTCCGTGTCGCGCCTAGCAGGGGACAAGGAGGGCGAGTTCAGTGCCAGGTGCTGCTGGAGAAGCTGCCCGAGAGCTGCGGGGTTTGGGAGCAGCCCCCAGAGGAAGGGGAGGGTCAGCGGCTCCGCGGCCAGGGCGGCTGGAAAGACGGCAGCGAGCTGTGCAGCAGGGAAGGGGCACATGGGCTCCCTTCGTGTGGCCCTTGTGCCGCTCTGCTTTTTGCGGTGTAGGGTTTTTTCATATCTGTCTATATGAATATAGAATCGTAGGACTGACTATAAATTTCAATAGGCGCTTACCTTGTTTGATATTCAGAATCAGCTTATCCTGATCGCAGTGTGAGTAGTTTCTATGGCTTTCCTTTCTTTGAAAGATCCATTCTTTCCTACCAGGTAGCAAAAATAAACTTTATTAAAGGCTTATATGCAAATATACTTAGTATGAAAAGGCTCCGTAAATGCAAATGCATCATGCTTTTGGTAAATATAATTAACTTTCTAATTAGACGGCTGTAGGTGAGCTTTCACAGTGTGTTTTCACTGCCTAAATTAAGCTTGCTTAGTAGACCCATTAATTCTTTTGCATCATATGGCTTTCCTATTTTCTGTTATGTTGGTTAGGCATTATTGGTTTTTTATTCAGATCCAGCCCTAAGGCTTAGCATTTGCTGTCTCTGATACCTGTGAGACGTGAGAGAGAGAAAAGCAGTATGTAGAAAACAAAGATGTCATCTCCAAGCAAAGTTGAAGGCACTGTGAAGCTGCTTTCTTGGGAGAGGTTCTTAAATGTTAATGTTGCTGCCCTTATTCTTCCTATTTATGACCTTCATCTGTATAGTGTTTAGTGTGTTCTTTAGGGCAAAAGTTGTCTTTTCATGTGTCGTTGCTGAATGTCCAGCAACTCTTTGAGTATTTGAGGATGACAGTTTGTAGACACCTGTACTGAAAATCCAGAAGGTATCAATTTGTTCTGTCTTCTGGAGCCCCTGTTAGGAATTTTTATGACAGAACCAAGAGCTTATTTTACTTCCAGTACCGCATTTCATGTACTTCCCTTTCCTTACCTACCTTTTAGAATGATATGGCAGTGGGTTTTTTTGAGTTAGCACACTGGTAAATA